TCGCGATTCCTGAGGAAAACACATCACGGATCACTTCCTGTATCGATTAAAAAATTGCACTTTCGAACTGCGATCTGTCACAACACAGGCGGAACAGTATTAGAAGACGCCCCCCCCCCCCCCCCCCCCCCCCCCCCCACCCCCCCCCCCCCCCGATGGGCAATTCGTCAGCCGCCATCACCGTGACTGCCCGTCTCGTTTCCCGACTTAAATAAATCCACCCATGGTAAGGTGACATATCTAGTCGGCTTTAGTGCCGTATCATTTGTAGTGATACCTAGCATATTGGGAAAACCTTCCCTCCAAAAGTTAGAATGTGATCTTCTCAGGAATTGGAATGCACTGCGCTGTACAGTGGCCTTTGTCTATGCCGTGGACGCGCACGATCTCCGAAGTTTCCTCTGGGTAGTCAGTTCACTCACCGCTTGCATTCGTCACCATGGCCGTTATTGGACGCGCCATGGCATCCAGCGCCGATTATAACCTTGAAATAGATGCTAACTATGCGCCAATGGATGCTTGGCTAGGTGCTATATCATGTAACCCTCTCCGCTAATTCGGCTTAAAATCTTGAAGAGCCATAATTAGGTTGAGAAGCGATAATAGTCTGTAAATTATTTGGTAAAACGACTAGTCCACACATCCATAATAAAATCGTGTAAGGCATATTCGGTCCTGCTAATTGTTGTAAGTGTCGCAAAACAATTGAGAAGGTTTGCGATCATCGCTAATTCCTCATGATTGTAATATTGTATTCAATACCTTCTTCTGTCTCGATATAGACAACCCACGCTTTAATAAGCTCTGATTTGAAAACGCTTTTCGGGGTAATTAGCCAGTAGAGGTGGAGCACAATCAGTGGGTGCACACAGCTCAATAAATCGCTCAAAGTACTCTGAGACGCTCTAAGCTATGATATTTTCTTACTGCACTCCGTTACCATACATCATGTGCCCGACTTGTAGCACAATGCTCACACTCAAAACACTACCGTGCTTTTTTGTCCATCTTCCTGTTATCCGTGCCTAAGTTTTGTACAATCTGGCGCTTCAATGTGTGTGCAAACCAAATCTTAGGGTTTTTCTTATCCAAGAATGGCGGTATAACGCACGCCCCGACAATCGAGAATAACTTCCGTCTCGGAAAGATCCTCGGTCGCGTTGAACAAGACGCGCTCATGACACGCCTATTCTTTAACAACGTGGTTGCCGCTCTGTCGAACACGTGGACTCTTCGCTAGAGGGTTCCAGATTCTTGCTGTAGCACCACCCAGGTCGTCATCGTCACTGCTCATTTTTAATGTTCAATTGGGGTCAACCATCCGCTAGGTGGGTGGTTTTGGTCAGGGCAGTGTTGTTGTTGAGTTGGCGAGAACTTAATAAAAAAGTCTATAGGTACAATTCACTACGCCTTATAATGGCACATATTTTACACGCCCACAAAATCATATTAAGAAGGAGGAAAGAAGCTAAAGCGGAAAAGATAGTTGTCCATCACAGTGTACGACGATAGAAACGCACAAAGATAGTAGAAACTAAATATTTACATAAAATTCCACGAAGGCTTATATGATTTAATTACGTAAGCTTGGAATGGCGCGGTAAGCGAGTCGGGTCCTACGTGTCTCTAGTCTCTCGTCTGAGGCGTGCGGATTCGCCGACTGACTGGGACAGTATAGGAGTTGACAAACTTTTTTAACTTTTAATTAACTTGAAAAGATCGTAGAGTGCTAATGCGCGGGCGCCGTAACTGGTAAAAACATCCGAGGTGCGGTTGCGGCGGGAGGAAAGATGACATTGCGTCACCACCTCGATCAGCTGTCCGCGAGGCTCCAGTTCAAGGATCAAGTTCTAATGCGTATTAGATTATTTTATTTATTTTTTATATTAGGAGGTGTGTGTAAGGTGTGTGAATTTATTTAATGTTTTATGATGAATGTAAGTCAGCCACATGTTCATAACGAAAAGTAAGGTTGAAAATTCAATCTTTAACTATGTGGAAACTACCGCCCCATTAATATCTAAAGCCTTACCACCCCATTCTGCACCCTCCTATACAAAGCAATGGTTATTAAAGCCACTAAATTATTATGGTAACCCAATAAAATAGCTATAAATAGTTTTACTTCAATACAATATTAAAATTATAAGTGTTTATATACTTATTTGTGTTACTTATTATTTTGTTTACCAATTCGTAAACATTAATTTAATACCTAAATGGAAAATGTGAAAAGTGGGTACGCCACTTGAATATTAAATTATTTCTCATATCATAAAACTATAACGGGATCTAAGGTTGTTGAATATTTTTAGAAAATAATATAACGAGGGAAAATCAAAATACATAGGTAACTTTAATGTAAAAATTGGTCAGTCTATTCATTTGCTTATAAGTTATAACTCAAGAATAGTTCTATCATTACTGGACAAAATATATTTTACGTAAAATGTAGCATTATATAAACACTAGCGACTTACCTTCGTTCCGCTCGGTTTCGTCCCTAGTTACGTTTTAAAGTCTAGTGTAGATTTCTCAGAATTGAGATATTTTCCCGCATTAAAAAGTATCCTACATGTTGACCCAGATAATCAAGTATTATCATAACAAATTTCATCAAAATCTGCCTAGTGGTTTTCTCGTGATACGTTCCCAGACAGACAAACAGACAAAAATTCTCAAAACTATAGATTCCGCCTCCGTATCGCTAATAATGACTATACCAATAATATTTTCCAATTTATACATATAATAAAATTTGGAATCAAATCTGTACATTAAATATTTTATAGATACCTTTTACTGCGGAAAAATATTTCATCTCTGAGAAATCTATACTAAACGTTAAAACGTTAGGTAACGAGCGAGGGTGAGTAGCTAGTCTAATGTAAATATTGAGTATAATGCTAGACATACATGTAACTCTAACATAAATTAGATTGTTAAAAGTTAAAACATCCACCCTAGCCCGCAGCCACTAAGCTCGCTTATTAGTACCTACTTATTTTAATAAACAATATAAAATATTAGATAATTATTTTTGAAACATAAACTTAATTTAATATAGAGTTGTCTAAATACACAAGATGAAACTACCTAATTAAAAGTTACCCGCTTACTTACGAGTATAACAATTTATTAATTGTGGCCGCTCGAACCATTCATATCGATATTTACCCATTAGGTACCTAGTCTACTTATAATATTGAATTAAATAATTAAAAATTACTGTACGTTGAATTATAGGTATGTATAAGAAATTAAAAAATGTCTGCCATTCTTGCGTGGATGGCGGAAAGGTTCACTGGATTCAATGACATTTCTTCTTTACTCGAATGCGGCCAAGGAAGACTATAAGTTTGATCCGTATGTATCTGTGTATGTCCGACCCTATGTTCCCTCGCAATTACTAAAACCGATTTCAATGATTTATACGTCGCGAGACGTCAGTCGCAGACATTTATTTATTGTATGTATGTTACTCGTATACGTATCTTCTTAGTTCTGTTTATACGCAGTCGGGTTTTAAATTTTTTTTATTTATACTCTGTTAATTTCCATTGCCTTATGTTATTATCTTTTTATACCATAATAATAACAATATTAATGTGGCGCGACGCACAAACTCAAGATAAAATTTACCAAAAGTGATTATAAGTTCAATGGGTTTTCCAATATTGTAATTTTCTTACGTGCTAGTTGCTATATTTCATCAGCCCTAAGGTCGATGATACCATCAATCCTGCCCGCAAGTAACTATTTGAAATGATTTAATTATCTTGGATAACTGAGGTTCCTTTTCTAGGTAATTCAAATCTAAATCACATATCGCCGACCTAACGTGATATCAATCTTATTATGTGGATTAATTGAAAATATTGTCTAGAAGTGATTTGTAAATAAATTGATTAATTATTATTTATTAAAAATAAAGATAAAAGAAAGTAGGTAATGTATCAAGTACCTAGTACTTGAAATATTTTTTATCTGCATTAACGAACTCTCAGTCTCAACACTCGACCTTCATATAATCTTTAACTAAAATACAATTACAGACAGATACGAGAGAGAAGCTTTAGAAATATGTAGATATTTTGAAGACCCAATAAAAAGTAGCGACTTTTCTGATAAAATACACAATTAGGGTTAATCTCGCAGTGATCAGCTGAAACAAATAAAAACGTCCAGTTCCAATATAAGTAGGTCCTCGTTTATAAAAATGTTTTTTTATAACCTTATAATTTACTCGTCACTCATTTAGCCTATCATTTTTTGTGATTGAAATATGTCGATCAGAAGCCAGATACGATGACTGTATGATGAATTGTATGACATAGCAATATTGTGAAAAATTGCTTTTTACTCTTTCCCCTCTTTGTTACCATATGGGTAATAAATCATAGGCAAAAATTATAAAAAACTTTGATCTTAAGTTTTTTTTCAAAACTGTAAAAGCAATATCACCTGATGATGATCGATGTTGTAATTGCGCCTTAATTTCATTCAATGCAATTTTTTGAATGTTAACTTCTTTAGGCACGTTGGATTATACGTTAGGTATTATATAGATATTAATCATTCTTTTTCATATAAAACAGCGCAATAAATGATTTTTTTTAAACTATGCTAATAAATGGAGAGCCGAAATTTTTGTTCAGTTATACTGCGATAACTACTGAACCGATCGGAATAATACTCATACCATAAGATTCAGCGTGTTTCGGAGAAGGTTTTAGTATACGATATGTTGGTGATTAATGTACTATGCGGGTGGAGCCGCAGGAAAACGCTAGTATAATAAATATAATGTTTACAAGTTTGTGAAGCTAAGAAGTTTTTACTTCTGATGTGCAGTCACTACTACTGACAGTTTTTTTTTATTTATATACCTACTTACGATTGGTACCTAGGTACCTACATAGTCATCGTTACAGAAATGATAAAGATAATGTTAATTGAGAAAATAAAAGTAAATATCTAAATTTAAAAAAAGTAATTTAATTTTTATGAGCAGTAGCAAATGGATGCGAAGACTTGTGCCTGCTTCCGCGTCCATTTTGTACCACACCCTGCACAGCGCTCACTATCGCCGCACCCTCAAGAAACTTACTCTGAAATCACATATCTATATGTTAGAGGACAATATTTATCAAATTTAAATGAAATCTTGGTCAATATATTATAACAGCTAACTGTTAGTAACTGGTACTAAATAGACCAACTAAACAATATTACAAGTCCAGATGTCGACTACTTTCATCGTCAGACAGCAACATATGTGTGTAGTGGGAATAAGTTTTTCTCGTAACTTTCCTTTTGTACATTATATGATAAGTAAGTAACACAATTAAGCGATAGTAAGGTTTTCGCAATTTTAATAACTTAACGCTATTTTAAAGAATGGACTTTCATATCGTACCTCGTTTTAAGTACATAGTGTATTAACGTTTAATCTTGTTTTAACCTTATACTACGAATATATAGTGGTCAAATTTAGTGGTTGTGGTTTTTCTCTTGACGAAAATTGAATCTGTAACTTAGACACAACACGGAGGACCAATCAAATATGTCAATCAGAACTAGAACAGTTATTTAAGTAAGTAAATTACTTTATCATATACACACCGCTCCATCTTTAAATTTTCGAGCCCAAGGTTTAGCTGTAGTACTTGATACAGAAGCCCCCGATACATGCGCACTATTACTCAAAACAATTTGTGAACAAAGCGTTACGAACATAAAGACAAATATGACCTTCATTCTGTAAAGCTCTAGTAGTAGTTAGTGGAGAATGAATCCGTATGTGCAGATGATGATTGTTTTATATAAACAGGAAAATACGCCTGTACTTCGAGGATTTACTAGAAGGAAAATATAAATACCTATTTAATAATAAGAATGTGTGTAATGTAAATTATTATAAACGAAATATACCATATGCGTACAAATCGTGGTATATTTGCAATCGGAATAACGCTAAGGTACATTCCTTGGCATATAAATAATTAAACTTGCTCTTTTGTTTGGAAACAAATAAGCGTAAGTGTTTATTTGATGTTCAAAATCTAAATTCATTACAATTTCAAGAACAGTCGAAGCGCTAGATACAGTCTTAATTTGAATTAAGCAATTTTAAATGTAATTTATTACATTTTATAAATATACACTTACACAAAATTCTTGATCATAAAACTGAATTATCATACAATTTAACTCTTAACGCTTAAGGCCCCCTGAAATCTAACATTCTTCTGGTAATAAACTATATAATTAAAAAAGTAAATAAATATATTCGTACCCTAAAGTAGGTAAGTACAAATTTTTAAATATCTTTGACTGTATGACGTATATATATGAATGTGTATAAGCAATATAATGTAATAACTCTCGCATAACTAAAACACAATAAACGATTTAGTAGAAAATTAATAAGATGACACATAATATCATATCTGACTCTAAGTAATACAGCGCGAGTGGATGACCCCGACTTGCGGTATACGGTAGAGCCCCGAACCTAAGAACTCTTTATCTTTCTTTACAGTGTTTATATTTTATACCTATATATATAGTCAGTACAGTTATCAATTCATCATATTCATTAAACACTCGCCCAAGAGTCCTCATAACTGAAAGAGAATATTAAATACATAATAAAAAATGAAGCTCGCATCACTGTTTGTTATTATAATGGTGGTGTTGTCATTGTTTCTCTCGCCCAGTGAAGCAAGACCGGGTAAATTAGGCGCTATCACAAAAGGAACTAAAGTACTTGTAAGTATTAATTAATATATTATTCCTATAATATAGACTAATAAGGATCTCATTTATGAATATAATATAAAGACACATGTACCTATTCTAGAATAATTTATTGTAAAAATATTCAAAGTACTTATGTATTTACGTAACCTAGTATCTACTACATATAGGTAGTACGCTTCAAATTATGCATAATCTAATACTATCAAGAAACTACTTAATTATTCAATAAATCTGTATGCATATGTAATCTGAAGCTATTTTTTTATATAATAACATAAACATAAAGGTCATATTCTTTTTTATGGTAATATTTAATACAAAATGATAGGTAGGTAATAAAATATAATCGCTTAGTAGGTAGGTACATTATCCAAATATTTTTTTATTTAATAATTCTGATTATTATTTTAAATCTTTTTAAATACTCCAATGTACAGATACGTAGGTATCAATTTCTGTATACTTATTTTAAATATGTACCTTATATATATATATATATATATATATATATATATATATATATATATATATATATATATATATATATATATAGTAAATATATACTTATTACTTATGTATGTGATTTATTTCAGATAAATGGATTTCGGGCTCTTAACATAGCAAGTACAGCTAACGATGTTTACAAATTCTTCCATCACAAGAATTGATTAGTGATTGTTAAATAAAAACATGCACTTGTCTATAAAAAAGTTCCTTTATGTACTTATAACCCAAAGCTTAATACGTACAAATATAATAGTCACAATGTGTTCGTCTAAGTCATTATTGTAAAAAATAATCATACCTATTTAAAAAAATGTAGGTATTAACCATGTCAATATTTAAAGTGGGTATTGTGAAGGATCAGTAATGAGGTACAGACTAATAATGACCCCCTGGCTGATTTCGGTCACGGCGACCAAACTCATTGAGAATGCCACGCGTGGGAAAGATATTTGAAGGCACTAATAACTCCAACGCAAGTGCACACCTTATTTTCTCATTCTCAAATTCCGGTGGGACGACAATTCAACGCGACCGGTGAGAGATCATCGCAAGACCTATGGTTTTACGTGCTATCTGAGACACGAGGGTGAATCACCGCTAACTTCCCAAATTCGAGCAAATCAAATTTCTGAACAAAAAAATAATATATATTTTGCTTGACCCGAGAACTAGACACCTAGGACCTCCGGATCTGTAGCCGATATACAATTAGCATGTGTACAAGTCACTAACCACTAGACTATCAAGGCAGGTACAGGCAAAGACACTGCGGTGTACTTAATTTATAAATAAACATTTTCTTTTCTAAATTATTTTTTTCTTTAACCTATAATAAGACACTTCATACTATTAAGCTTTTAACTAATAACAATATGACAATAATATAACAATATAATAATGCTTAAACTTAACCTATTATGAAAATAAATCTTACGAGTGCAAAATAAACTCCGTAACATCTAATCCGTTTTCAAAATTAATTACAACTTCATTAATAAGAGGTTACCTACTTTTAAACTGGACCTGTGCAAAGCGAGGGTGGTTGCTAGTCGTTTTAAACAGAAATAAATAATATTAACAATATTTACTACGTACCATTATAATATTTTATATTTACGACTTAGGAAGCTGTTACCTATACAGTCAAAAAGTCCCATTAAAAACCGTTCACCCGCTATCTATTGATGAGAAAAGCTCGGTAAAACACAATGCCGTTTATATGGTGAATTAAATTTTATTGCGTAACATTCACGAAACTTCATGTATGTTACGTTTATAAAAAAATTAAAGCTTTATAAAAAAAATTACCATTTAGTTTTGGCATGTTATAATTCATCTCTTTTTTTAATTCAGTATGCTATAACCGTATAAAAACAATTAAAGAAGAATACAAGCCATCAAAGATAGGTAATTTATATGAAAGTAGTTACCAAAGAATATTGTAATAAAATTATATCTTTGGCGAATATTACACAGGATCATTTCATATCATCTTTTATCATTCCAATATTAGAACGCTTAAGTATATATGCTCTCCCTTTTTATGAAGATGTATTGCTTTTCATGATGAAGAATCTAATAAAACAACGATCATATCATGTCTATATTGCATCACTGATCACACAAAATTCACACAAGATTTTTTTTAAACAAAAGGAAATCTAGTAGTATTCTTGACTATGAACTTACTCAGATAATTTCGGCAGTTCCAGTGTAGCAGATTGGAAACTTTATTAGTAAAAGAGAGAATAAAAATTGAATAGATTTGAGTGAGATTTCTTTATGGTAACCTTTGAACGAAATATCTTAGCGACACACAAGCGAGCGGAGCTGCGAGAAAAACTTTAGATACTATAAATTATAAAATTTACTATTAGCTACTTATTCTCGCATCCCTCCGGTGCGTCCCTAGGGCTAGGTACGCGGGTTTTGTTCACAATTTCATAGCTATAATTCTTTTTCTAAAATAAAAGTAAATATACTCTTAAGTTACTCCTTATAGCAATTCCAAACTCCTTAAAGTAAGTCAAGTCAAGTTTCGAAGATTAGTCGGAACAAACAGACAGACAAAAATTTTAAAAATAGTTTTTTTAAGAATATTTTTTTAAAAGTCGATTTAGATTTTTTTTCAAAAAACAAATAATATTATGTAAAAATCTGTACATACATATAATAAAATTGTAACTAAGCCAAATCTATAAATTCAATATTTTTTGGAAAATCTTATTGAAATAAACATTATCGATACAGAGGCCGAATCTATAGTTTTTAGAATTTTTGTCTGTCTGTCTGTTACCGCATCACATAAAAACCACTTGAGGGATTTTGATGAAATTTGGTATGATGATAGCTGGTTATCCGGGTCAACATATAGGATACTTCTTACCGCGGGCGGCTAAAATATCTCATTTCTGAGAAAAAATACAAAAACTGCAATGTAAGAGCATAATAATATGTAAAACCTAAGAATTTGTTTTTTGGTCATGTGAACGCGGGCGGAGCCTCGGGCAATGCTAGTGTAGAATAAAAACTAGATCCGTTGAATAAATCCAAGAACTCAAGCTAAATTTTACCGCACGATTAACTACAATTCCGATTGGAAATCGCCTTTAATTTAAAATTTACATTTTAATATTGTTGAAATTTTATAAATCAATTTAACTCATTTAATAAAAATAAAGTACCTAACTAAATTAAATGAAAAAATATATTAGTAGGTACTATAAAAAAGGATTTTTATAGTAAGTAGGTACCAATTTGATTTTTTTTCTATCAAGCGAAGGAATCGTGTTAAAAATTGATTTTTGCATCTACTACGTAAAGGAACTCCAAAACTATTTTGCGAATTGATGGAACATTAAAAAGGCAATTTAAACAATTATATTATCTATCGTAGTTGTTGAACTTAAAACAAGGGTTTGGAAGACAATATTAAATTGTATAAGGATTAAACGAAATGGCTCAGAAAAAACAAGGTTTCAATGAATCATTTATTTATAGATATATACCTAATTATATTATAATAAAATATATTTATTTATATCTTATTAGTCAACTTTTAACCTTTATGTTTTTTGTTATGGACGTAGTTGTAGACATCATGCGCTTTTTTCGCAGCCTTGTACACTCCTACGCCCGTTTTCTGAAAAATAGGTTTCATTAAAATTTTATTTTATATAACGTACTTAATTACCTAAAATATTTTAAGAACTTGTGACGTATATATTTATCATACAATTTTATTCACGGTCTGCCTAAGATACACCTCGGCTTTGGGGTCAGCAAGACTGACCTAATATAAATTCTAACAGATTAATTTGTCCATTGGTTTTTCCTTTTAACCCCACTGGGCAAGCCCATAAAGAAAAAAATTGTAGGTATATTTTATGACTGTGAATCAGTAGATTACGTTCTAAAAGTTATATTTAAAAGAAAAATATGCTGCATTAAATTTGTTAACTTACTATAATTTTGCCTCCTTTTTTAAT